ATGGAAATTTAAAATCTCCTAAATGCCATTACATATGTTTCTTAACCCTTTGAGTACGGGCGACGAGAATTCTCGTCCTGATATTTCAGGACTTAAATAGTTTTACAAGATACGGTTTGTTGATTATTTAATCATGCGAGTTGCATGGAAATTTTTGTTTAGAGTATTTGTGCGTTAAGATTATCTATACTGATGCGATGATTATTGATTGTCCCTTTTTTCTTTGAATCCGGGATTATTTTTATATAGTAAATTAGACAAGAGAGACTGTTGTTAGATAAACCGCTCCTATAAAAGTTTTCCATTCATACCCCAGCTATATTTTGCCAAATGAAAAAGTTTGATAAGTTGAGCACTTTTTGTGACGGACCTTGATCTTTTATATGAGACTATGAAGAAATCTGAGAGGGACAACGATTTAAATGACTGAAATTTTACAAGTTAATTTATCCAGAACTCTTCATGGTTTAATTTATAAGATCAGATTCCATCACAAAAAGTACCCAACTCACTGACGTTTTTCGTTTCGTATGATATAGCTAGGGTTTCGAATCAAAAATTTTTATCAGGCCTCTTTCTCTATCAATCATCTCTCGTCCTTTTTACTATAGAAAAATAATCCCATACTCAAAGGGTTAATTTAACGGATTTCAATTAGAAATGATCTTAAGTCTCAAATTTTCGGTTGCCAATTGCCAAAACAGTTACTTATAATAATTTTAATAAAACCTAAGTTTTCACCTGTATTTTAAAACTTATTGACATTGATAGGGTTTCTTAAAGATTAGGCTTCATCGTTTCAATTTAATGAGCTGTAGTTTGTAGAATGCGCTAAAAAATAGTAGTGCTCTTTTACATCTTAATTAACTGAAATGTATAAAGATCGTCAGATATAATTGTTACTATGAATGCCATCAACTGTTTTTGATTTTTAATAGACCATACAATTATGATTGTAAAATGGAATCAAATATCGAATGGAGATAACTGATTGGGATGCAAAACCTTATATACACAAAAGTACTAAATACGAAAAAATGATTTCTAAATAGAACATCTTAGAAGCATAGATGTTAGCGAGCATCTTCTCATAACCAACACAGCTCGATCAGCCCACACCACATTCGAAATCAATATCAAATTATAACAATAAGCTAAGACACAATCTCCTTAAAAATTTCCTCTGTCTTTAACCGAAACTATTCTTAGTTGAGCTCATATCGTTGATCCCTGCTCGTGCACTATAAGAATTAGTTTATCAATAATAAAAGAAAAAAACAGCTAGTTCATTCTATTTTTGTCCTCCATTAAAATTCTTTGCAGCTAGGTTCCAACGAAAATCTTAACTCAACCAAAATCTATCGTTCTCTACAAATTACACCATACTTAGCAAAAATAAGTGTGGAAACCTCGGATTTCAATCTGAGAGTTAGGTGTACTTCAAAAAGTGAATAAGACAGATGAGTCATCCTAGAACGTGTGGGCATATAAATTATCCTGGCAAACCTTTTCTATTGGATTGGCAACAAAGTTTTTGCATTTTTTTCTGAATCCTCTAAAATATCCGCACGCTTTCAGAAGCTTTCATACTTTGTGTATATATATATGGGGCACGAATATCGTGCGAACAACAACAAAACCACGAGTAAAGAAGCTAGTTTCGAATTAGAAATAGAGATTACTCGTAGGGAGTTCTTAGTGCTTTTACTTCATAAATTCCATTTTGGGCAGTACAATAACAGAAGCAGCAAGCGCCATATGCAGCACGACGGACAACGATGTACTCTCCATTTGTACAGCGCAACATTGGCTCAATCCATTTAAGAATGGGAACTTCGAACTTGACAATTTCCCTCGTTCTGACGAGGAAAAGCAGAAGTTTGATCACTTGCTTTTCAAACTTTAGTGTTGCCAATTTATAGAGCTTATTGAGTTATTAACTGATATAATAATAATTCGGGCCAACAACGCGGCTTTACAGTAAATTTCTTATAAGAAAAGTTTCTATTAACCTGTCCATACTCTATAATGGCTCTATAGGGACCCCTATAGGATCCTATAAGCCCTTATAAGCCCTATAAGCTCCTACAGGGGTCCTCGATTGAGCCAATGTTGCGCTGTACAATTGGACAGTACATCGTTGTCCGTCGTGCTGCATATGGTGCTTGCTGCTTCTGCTATTGTACTGCCCAAAATGGAATTTGTGAAGTAAAAGCACTCGGAGCTCCCTACGAGTAATCTCCATTTCTAATTCGAAACTAGCTTCTTTACTCGTGGTTTTATTGTTGTTCGCAAGGTATTCGTGCCGCCTATATATATACTCTAAGTATGAAAGCTTCTGAAAGCTTCGCGGACATTTTAGAGTATTAAGAAATAACTGCAAAAACTTTGTTGCCAACCTAATATAAACACTTGATTTCTATCGACCACTGCGTAATCAATGGGATTTAGAAGCAAATGGAGTACAGATTTGAGTTCTCCAACCCAGAAAACCTTGAAGTATCATCTCTGTGATCGAAAGATAGAGCTCTAATTGTGGATCAATTAGAGCGTGGACAAAAACAGAACTAATATCAGTTTAATTATCTTTGCAATAGGTGAGTTAGACTTCTTGTTTCTTTATAGTTTATATACCATTATGTAGCTCGTGATATTCTCTATCGAATGATATATAATAATTAGGGGTGGCACATTTACTTTACTTTTTATTTAAGTAACTATAGTAAAGTAACTAGTTTAGTGAAGTAGCTAGATTTTAAGTGGAGCTAAGGTAATTACCTAGATTGCTTTAATGCAAAGGTAAAATATTATTTTACAATAGAGCTAGCAGCATCATTAAGTAGTGACTAAAAGGCATCCAAAGAAATCAGCAGTGTCACATATCCAAGATTTTGGAGATGCCACCACATCTCCTGCGGGAGATGCCGCATCTCGCACGAGAGATGCGAGTGTGGGTGTGGGGGATGCGTCTCTCTAAAGGAGATCTTACATCTCCAGTGGTGAATGACCTC